GTCACTTGACTTAGTTTCTTCCTCTTTAGATTCTTCCCCCAATCCCAGCTGGTGTTTCAATAATTCCTTGGCTTTGAAGATGGAGTCTATCTTCTCCTAACGTTGATTTTAAAGATGACACCTTCAGGAATCGCCCACCTGTACTGTATACCATTTGTTTGAATAAAAGTAATTAACTCCTTGTAGCTCTTTCTCTTCTGAGGAATTTCAAATGGAATGTCTTTTAAAGTCTTGATAATTGTATTCCCAAATTTCAGTGGAGTTGCTGAAGTTGCCTTTAATATAGCATCTCTGGTCTGTCTTCTTGCAAATCTCACCACAATCTCTCCAGGCAGGCTATTTTTAAAATATAATTGGAGTAAGCCCTATAAGCTGTCTCCATGTCTTTTATTATTTCCTCCGCTGGCATTCTCTGTCACTGGAGCGATAATCTCACCCAGAGTCTTCTTCAAATCTTCTTTTTCTGTCTCAGGAACCCCCTGGAACCTGAGAATCATATTAGACTTTTCCATTTGCAGCTGCAACAAATGATTTTCTAGAAGATTTTGTTTCGTTTCCACTTCACCCATTCTTTTCTTCATTTTCTTGCTTGAGGTGTCCATCTCTGTAACTTTCTCAGCCACCAGCTCCACTTTTTTTTCTGTTTCTGCCAGTTATCACTATTGTGAAGCAAAGTTTTGATTTAATGAGGTCAGTTGCTGGTTAATACCATCGAGCTGATCTGGCTTGAGCATATCCGCTAACAGCTTCGGACTCTGACTACCAGGCTTCGCTTTAAACTTTCCTTGGGATGCTGCCATTTTTAATCTTTGTTTACACTTTCAAACCGCTTCTCCTGAGCTCGAAGCACTCGTCAATTCGCTATTTGCACTCCAGTAAGTCTCTCAAAATACACACGCTGTCTGTTTCCTCCCACTCCCTCTTCACTGTGTTTATCTGTCCTTGCGCTTTGGAGGCGTCCCTCTTGGTGCTCCACTTTTCCCACAGGGAGGGGGGGTGCCGTTTATCAAATTTCATTTACTTAGAACTCACGTTCATTGTTGGTCAGATTCCTGACCTCGCTCACATCAATCGTTGTTCCGCTTGGTCTCCCCCGCTTGTCCCAGTCGGGTTAGCTTGTGCCCTAAGGCCACTCATCGGTAGGACCGTCAGAGTGGAGAGAAGCCTCGATTCTCCGGCAGCAAGCCGTCAAAGAGGCTATCCCTCAAAGCTCTCTGACCTGGAGCCTTTCACTCGAGGTGGCACCCCTCCATGCTGATGGTGTGCTAATCGCCTCCCCAGGCTCTGGGGAGAGCGACCGCCATCGCCAATCCATAGACCGGAAGTCTCCTTCACCGGACTCTCGATTTCCATCACCACACTCCCGTACCCCGATCCACCATTTGGAGGGCAGAGAGCATTCTATTGGCCATCAAGCTCGATCTTGATATGATCGAAAGTGTCTTATTCGTCACCAGTCTCCTTCCCCTTCAGGATCACCTTCTGATTACCAATACTGGTCTGATGAACAGGATCAGCCGGATTACTATCCGTATTATTCTCTGAGGTCTCCTACTCCTCGCCGACACCGGTATGATCACCTTCGTCACTTCAAACGTCATGAGCATCCACGGTCTTTGGATCGCACTAGACGATCTCTGTCTGTGACTTCAGCCCGCTCTGTGGGTCCTGACCTCTCGAGACCTAGGGATGCCCCTAAGAGTTCTCTCTCAGAACCTGGGCTTCGTTTCCCTGTTGATGACTTGGTACCGGCTGATCTCACTCAACAGTGGAGATCCTCCTCTCCCATGTTGATTTCCGACAACTCAGATTCGGCAGACCTCGAACGCGATGTTCCGCATATCGAAGATGAGCTTTGGCCCTCGGGGTCTATTTCACCTACTGAAGGCCCAAAAGCGTATCTGGAACTTGTAACCAGGTTGGCATCCGTGCTTCAGGTCTGACCTACCTCATTATGTTGTCGCTCCTCCAGATCCTCTCCTCGATTCCAAATTTCTGCACTTCTAGCCAAGGGCGCCATCGAGGTCGTCCCGGAAGCGCAACGAACGGTTAGCTATTTAGCTATGCCACTTGGCTAGTGAGCAGAATCTTGTAGTTATGCTCTGTGTTTGAGTGGACTTGTCTCTGACAAGTAAAGACCAGATACATCTGCGAATTTATGAATTTTATTTAAGCATAGTTTCAAATAGCAGCTTTTCTATCATCAGTTGTTCAAGAAATCACATTTTGTATGGTTCCCTAATAGTTTGTTACAATTTTAACCAGATAGGCTATAAGCATCATTCGGTGCAACAATAACATATCTCACCACTCTTTGAGGCACGTGTAAATACGAAGAAGATGACCGCCCTCTGGGTTCCTATGGAGACAAAAAGTTGGAACAAGGAGATGGGAGCGTACTCCTATCTCTCTTTGTCCCACCTTCAATGCCGCCCAATTTTCTCCTTTTATGTTTTTCCTCTTCACCTATTCTATTTCCCTGTTGGCCAATCAGAAACTCTGACCTTTAGATTGTCTTCCAATCAGTTGGGTTTCATATTATCTCATCTGTCCTTTAAACAAAATAGTTGTTTTTGCTAGTTCGTTCTTCCCGGGGCTTCCCATCTTTGGAGTTCCCCTTTTTCGCTGGGTCATCTTGACCCTTGTGCGATGTCCTTACATAAGGCTTCTTGTACCAAACTTCCTAATTTGGACCTGTTTAGTTCTTCCTAATTTGGACCGATTTAGTTCTAATGTCCGTCCTTGATTCTGGAAAACACCTTACTTCCCTGAGCATAGCTAAAACTCCCATAAACTCTATTCCAACGGTTAACTATATGTATAACATGAGATGTGCATAGTCTAAAGTGATATAGGTATATATATAAATGTAAGTGAAATCTGAGTGAAAAGAAAAGATTAAATTATTGTCTTTTGCAGGATAGTAATGTCCCCTCTCTCAGACTCCTCCCATCTTTGTTGTATATATTTAGTTCAGTAATTATTTACTTAAACAAGCTCAAGCTCAAAACAATTGTCCTGCCAATAAGACATCTGGTATTAGCAGCATGAATCAGCGAAAACTCTTGTGGGTCTTTTTAGCAAAACGGCTTTTGCAAGTTTAACGGCCTGATCTTTCCCAGGCCTGAAGCCTGAACCAATGTTTCAGGTTCATGAGAAGCAAGCTATGTCCCTTTTTCCTGAGAGGCCTTTTCGTAGATCTTTACAGAACCCTAGGCTTTTATTCAAAATATTTCCTCGTACTGAAGAGGGATGGCGGTTTCAGGGCCATTATGGATCTTCGGGATCTCAATCAGTACATTCGATGCCACAAGTTCTGAATGGTCACCCTACAATCTATTCTCCCACTGATTCCCCAG